TAGGGTCGCTATGAGTTGGAACCGACTCAGCAGCACCTAACAACAGCAGCAGCGCAAAAGACAGACCCAATATACAACTAATTGGACTACAAAACAAAGTGTTACAACAAAGGTAAAGAAAAGTGCTGTGAATAGGCAGAGGAGAATGTTATAAGCTCAGCCTCAGGCCTCAGCTCTAATTTCTTGTCCTCTGAGAAGCCTTCTCCAATCATCCCAGTCAATGTGGTCCTCCTGTCCTGCCTCATTACCACTTTATTTACAGCACTTCAGCTGAAACTCTCTTACATGTCCACTTGCACGTTGACACTCTCCCCTAGAATGTGAGCTCTGTGGGCAGAGACTGTGTCCCTGACTCCTGGAACAACACCTGGTAGACAGTATGCCCTCAATCAACAACTATTTGACCAACTTCACAGAGTTCTTGGAAGAGACTTCATAAACCAAAAAACCAAACCAGCTGCCACTGAGTCAATCCCAACTCATGGCAACTCCAGGTATGCAGAGCAGAACTGCGCTCCAAGGATTTTCAAGGTTCAAAACCAAAAAAACCAAATCCATTGTTGCTGAGTCAATTCTGACTCATAGCAACCCTATACGACAGAGGAGAACTGCCCCACAGGGTTTCCAAGGAGCAGCTGCTGGACTGAACTGCTGGCATTTTGGTTAACAGCCGTGCTCTGTAACCACTGCACCACCAGGGTTAGGTGATATCTGAAGTGGGCCTTGAAGAATCTAGGACTTTGCCGAGTAGAGAAGCCTTTTCAAACCTAAAATTCAGCATCAATCTGCCATGTCCAATGACTCTATGTGCCTTTAATGTGTACATCTTTTGACTTCTATGTACAAATGTCTTGTAACTGATGGGTTTAAGTTTCTTTCCTCACAATAACAAGCTCCAAGAGTTTCAGTTTCTATCATTACTATTAAAATCTATCTTTCAGGAGAAGGGGGAAAAAAAAACAAACCTAAGCATAATCTAGGTTCTTGTGGAAATTTATTTTGACCTAAACACTTTCTCAGTAACTATATTTTGGTTTCTTTCCACCTTGAAAGAGGCTGGCCTAACCAAACAAGGGCAGCAAACTAGGTTTAGTAGGAACCTCAGAAATTTCAAGTGCTTGATTTCTTTAGAACCTTGTTTTTCTTAAATGCCCAAGTTAATTTAATAGAGGAATTAAAAGTATCACCAAAATAACTAAAATTCTCTCACATGCCAAAAATGCAATCTCTATTTATTGTTGACTGAGAAGTAATAGGTAGAAAGACAATAAAACATTTTACTTTGGAATGAGAGATGTAGAAATCAGTTTTGGGGGGTCCTAGCAAACACTTCATCAGAGCCCCACACCCCACTCCCTGGTTGGCAGTGGAACATTTGCAGCCTTGTCGATTTTCGGGAAGTCAGGTTCTAGCAAGGCAAAGCCAACCGGGGCCATCATACACTCAGTAAATAATCACGGACTCATGGTGATGTCAAGTGTGTCAAGAGTAGAACTGTACGCCACAGGTTTCTAATGGCTGACTTTTCAGTAGATCTCCAGGCCTTTCTTGCAAGGTGCCTCTGGGTGGACTTGAACCTTCAACCTTTCAGTTAGCAGTGGAACACTTAACCGTCTGTACTACCAGGGACTCCTGAGGTAGGGGAAGGTATACACTTTTAGACTAGAAGAAATCTAACTTAGAAGGGTGATCCACTCACCTCTCATTCTACAGAAAAGAAAACTGAAGGCCAGAGAGCTGAAGTGGTTTTTCTCACATTCACAGTTAGCAGACCTCAAGGCTCCTTGGTCTTATCTCTTCAGGACATCAAAATTTTACAAATATGACCAAAATGCACACAGAGGAACAAGACTCATGGAACAGAACTAAGTCTAGCAGTTCTCACCCTTAGCCGCTAACAGTAGAGCTTAAGAATGAGTCATCTGGACATCCTTAGTTGGCTACTAGAGGCACTCTGAGCCTGACAGGCTCATGGCTTCAGAAAGCTCAACTTGATTTTCCCAGTATTGATTTATAAGTCACAATCCTCCTCCAAAAGGAGGGTCCTGTCTAGTTTTAAAGAATAAACAGAACTACAACATCAACTTAGAGAAATTAATTTAAGCAGGAGGAGGTAGACCAATGGGCTGAAGACACTTACTGGTTTAGTGTAGCGCTGGAGAACGGCCAGCTAACACTAGAACACTGTTTTTAGTCTCCAGAGACTCTTAAGGTCAAGGGCAGAAGAAAAAAAATCCGGGTCATGCAAATTTCTTTCGTCATCTGAGTTCAATGGGATTGGGGCTCTGGATGAGCGTTGTGCCCTGCTATCTTGAGTCATCACTTTCTATTCTTCACTAAAGACATTTTTAGGGAAAAAAACCAACAATATCTCCTCACTACCAATTTCACGGAATGAAAAAAGCAGAGGAGAGAACAGTTAAATATAATCATACAAAAAATTGCCCAAGAGGATTTTAATTAAACATGATGAACTAAGATCAAATAAAGAAGCCGATTTTGGCAACATGAACAATACTGTAGAACTATTTTTATTGACGCAAATACAAACTTTACAGGTAGCTAATTAGTTCTTCTGCATGACAAATCTGAACATTCAAGCACACAATTTTAACTAAAAACTGAAAGTATTTAAATTCTGGAATGACTGATATTAAACATTGATGGTTATTTCTTTTCTTGAAAAATGCCATTTCTATAGAGTATTCCACTCATTTTGTGGGGAATTCAAGACTTACACAAAGATCCATTGTCAGACAGAATGCCTCTGACAAATAAGTGACAGGCCAAAATTTTCTTCTTTTGCAGTAATGTATTACACTGAATACTGTTTGAAACAAATGGGCAAGTGACTGGGCCATGGAAATATTTTTGTTGTGAAAATATCTATGTTGTAACTATATCATTAATATTATATTGTGATGTAATTTGCACTGTACATATAGTTATTTTTTCCCCAAATACCTACCCACCAAAAATCAGTGAATGATGACTGGAAGAAACATATCAATTGTTAATTTGTAGTTGAAAGTATAGTTTGACAATCAAACCCAGTGGATCAGCATCCCCCAGGCAGTGGTGGACACCATGTACACTATGTGCTCTCAATTAATGGTCATAATGCTCATCTTGGTCATCTTTCCTACGATGATAGTCCTATTTGGAGTACATCCATTTTATGTAGCAAATACATTGTTAATATTAGGTTTAAAAAGGATATTAAAATTGTTGTCTCATCTGAGACCACACCAGGAACAGCATCTCAAGCATGTGAGTAGTGCTTAAGCAACAGACATTGCCTTCGTCCTTTCTTAGGGCTGCTAATCTGACCTCGGGTCAGTCAGAAAATGGATTACTCCATTTTGAAATAGCTACACAAATGTTGTTTTTAAGTATTTAACAGGATTAAGAGAGGTGATAATGCCCTTTTTGAACACTGTATCTTCATTTTACTTATCCTCCTCCAGCTGTCTCCAGCTCCCAAGGAAGCCCTTAAAAGCAAGACACACAACCAACCAAGAGAAATGTGAAGTCACATACACATACAGACAGAAGAGACAATTTTGGCTGGGTCCTCACCTAGCTGGGGCAGGGAAAACTTCTTGATAAAAGTCACTAGAGAAACTCAACCAGTTTCCAGAGTCCTCAATCACCATGGCTACGTTAACTTATTAGAGTGAACCGTAGAAGAAAGAGCATATGCTGTAGAGTCAGGAGTTGAGGTCTGAATCCTGGCCACTCCAGGCGTGTATAATGAGGCATGTTGTTTAAATTTCCTCATCTATAAAATGGGAATAATGCCTTAAGAATTGCTGTGAGGATTAAAATGAGATAGTATAAGAAAAGCACTTTGCTCAATTTTTAGTTTCCTTCCCCGCCAAGCTAATACTGCTCTGACTGCCTGGACTATGCCATTTTGGACTATCTCCCATTAAGAAAGACACCATGAGAACTGGCTGTATGTAAATGTGCAGTCAGCACATAATTATGGGTTCGGTCTGATCTTTCTGGGCGCTGTTTAGTATGGAAACAGGTTCTTAACTACTAATAATGCTTTTTCTCTCTAAAAATAAGATAGCTGTTGTAATAAACCAAGGATGACCCAACGTGCAGCCAGTCCCATTGAGTGAAGCAAGGCTGACACTCCAAGATTACTAATTTATAATGGGCCCCAACTACTGCAATACAATGGCCTGTAACTAACATCCTAACTAGCCACTCTCAGGGGAGGAGGGGAAGAGAGATTGACCTTGATTCGCCTCATTACCAACCAAATGTGGAAAACCCTTTAGCACAGGGGTTCTCAACCTTGGCTGCACATTAGAAACACCTGGGGAGCTTTTAAAACTCCAGATGTCCAAAACATCACAATACCTGTGGGTGGGGGGACCCCAGGCACCCGTATTTTTTAAAATCCCCAGTGATCCAAGATGCAGCCAAGGTTGAGAACCCTTCAGGATCACCCCTCCTGACCTCGTGTAACTTCTGCAGCAAACCAAGTCGGGAAAGACAACCTAGAGCGTTTCCCAACCACAGCTTTAGAGCGGAGCAGATACAACACGGTACAACAGCAGCCACAGGTGCCTGCTTCTGGGTTCACGCTGCAGTTAGAATTTACCAAATAGGGGCTTACCTAGGCCGCACGGGAGAGCCACTTTTTCAAATAGTTTACATTTCAACAAAATTAAGTTCACTAATCTGATGAGATGCCATAAACGCCTACATTTGCCTGTTAAGATTTTTTTTTTTCTTTCCTTTTTTTCCAAAAAGCAAATCTTGTGGGAAGGAAAGTCAGAGCATATGTGGGTGCTCCCTACACACATAGAGCCTAGAGAGAAGCAGACAGAACCATGCAATTCCCATGGCCGCCTAGAAACCACCCCACATCCCCCCTCCCCGCGACCCCAAGCGCAGGGCAGGCGAGTGAGCGCCGGGCCTGCGGCCAGTGCACCTGCCAGCGCACTGGGCCGCACCTGCCGCGCCGCGCCTTCCCCTCCTACCTTCCAGAAGCTCGTCCAGGCTGGTGACCTTCCGGCTGCCGTCGATAGTGTAGATTGTGCGGACGCCCTGGGGCAGGTTTACGTTGTCCGACAGGGAGCGGGTGAGCTCCATGAGGAGCGCATCGAAGGACCGGAAGCGGTCGCTGGAGATGGCAAACACCAGGCCCTTGAAGTAGCGGTCCCCATTCCGGTAGAAGCGTGCCTTCTTGGCCTTCTTCTCCGAGCTGAGGGCCTGCAGGGTCCGCGTGCGGTAGAAGCTGCAGTGGGCACTGTGTGCCGGGCTGGGGATGAGCCCATTCCCCTTGGGTCCCGAGCTGCTGCTGCCCCCGGAGGAGCTGGGCGCCCCTCTCCGAGACCCTGGCCTCGGCCTTTTGTCCCGTTCCTCAAAGTGCTCCAGCTCAATACTCCTGGTGCTGGCCATCGCGACTGTACCGGGGCTCGCCACTAAACACGTTCCTGTCAAAGCCCCCAGGCAGCCTAGTGTCACAGCGAGAACTGGTTCGGGGACGTCTGACTGTGAGGGGCCCTAGAGCGCCGGGACACCTCGCCCTGGCATCCCGCCCTCTCCTAGCAGGTGGGGTCGCGGAGGCACCAGCCGGCCCGCGCCTAAAAGTGGTCGCAGCGTTGAGCCGCCCAGCTCATTGTCCAGAGCGGCTCACTCCGTCCCTCCCGCCTGCCCGGGAGCCCCACGCCCCCCAAGGCGCCTCCTCCGCCCAGCCACGCCTCACAAGTCGCGCTCGGGAGCCGGCCAGGAGCGGCGAAGTTGGGCTGCTGAAGGCTCGGCCGCGGTCCCCGCTCGCCCCCGGCCCCGTGGGCG